CAGAGTTCCGTAGTTAAGCATGGCCTGAGCTGCTGCCCTATGACGTATACTTATTAGTTAAACCATGCATATACAGTATATGCTGTAGGTAGCTGCAGTGATACAGGCAGGGCTGTAGGGAGGAGGGGGGTATTGGGGGGTGGTTAACCCCCCAACTTTTTTAGAATCAACATATTTAGAAAATCGGGTTGGCCATTCGGAAAATTATGGCAATAATAGTAGAACAAAATTTTAGTTGCTAAACAGAGAAAATATTATAAAATTGTATTGTCACTATAAATTGTAAGCAAATTGTAAATTTCGACAAACTAAAACGCTTTTTTCTGACCATCAGCATTCTGTCAAAACTTCCCCAAAGTCCAGGAAATGGCATTTCAGAGACTCGAAATTTAAAAATTTCCTCGGCCCTCCGGCCCTCGCTTTCTGCCCCCAATAAACAAAAGCTCCCTACCGCACTGCTTCTGTAATATGTCTGTGCGTAAAATATGCATATTTTGGTTTGTAAATTGCGTCTTCATTTTCCGAATAGCAATTAACACGTCATTCGGAAATTTTTGGCCTACACCCCCCAACTATACATGCTAGCTACGGCCCTGGATACAGACTTGCCGACTGGAACTTCTCCAGGTCCCCCCGCTAATTATGTCCTCTCCAGTTACACATCCTTAAAAAAGGCCCTGAACCAAATGTTATACCTCATAGCAATATGTATTATTAAGAGCAATGCATGAAGCTAGAAAACTCAACGTTAACTATAATTAAAGAATCGAAATAGTATAAGCTATTGAAAACAAAATGCTGCGAAAGAAACTGTGGCAAAAAAAAAACGTACATGGTGATGGGATAAAAAAATATCTTGCACATAACGATCCCAGAAAAAAAGTTCCCTGCCAGCAGTAAATCACCCCCCCCCCTCAAAAGTTAAATGGTCGGCCCCTAATAAGTTCAAGCTCGAGTTGAAGAGTTTATTAACATAGGCAAAAAGCAGTTGATTTCAATTCACATTTAAAAACGTTTTACGTAGAGTTTCGTTTTGAATTTTACATTAAAATAAAGCCCATAGAAACCAAAATATTATACCTACTTTATATATTTTAGAAATTGACAGTTCTGTATTTAAAAGTGTTTAAATTCCATCTATTTTTTCCCGGTTTGTACAAAAAATTTAAAAAAAACAATTATCGTGTTACAATTTGTTACAAGTACCATTACTAACATGACGTGGCAACACGAGCCTGCGTTCAGTGTTGGCGTAATAAGGGGTGGGCCATTAGATATCCTGGGAGGGGGGGGGGGGCAGCCAGCTAGATCCAAAACAATGCATGCAAGGAGTTGGACTAGAAAAAAAAATCCTGCAAGTACATGGGGAAAGAAATCCTGCAAGTGCGTGGGCTGTTTAATAGGTAATATATGGCTCATTTTGAGATATTTATAACTTCACAGTAAATTTGTGACACATGTATGCTGTAAAACATTTAATAACATCATTGTTATTTGTTAAGTTGTTTTGTGATACATTTTTAAAACTACTAATGTTTTTTCAAACTGGTAAATATTGTCGAAGCTCCCCTTCTTTCGTCTCTCTGTATTTTTTCAAAGCCCCCCCTTTCAGGTTTTAAAAAATTTAAAGCCCCCCCCAGTTTCTCCTCAATCCCCCCCTGTACAATAAATAATTAGCGGTCCCTTATAGTCATTGTGTCACTGTTTATCATTACTGATTTTTTGTTAAAATTGCCCCCAGAATGCAGGAATAACGTTTCTAAGCCTTAGAAAATCAAAAATTTTCTGGGGAAGCATGCATCAACGACTCGACTCAGTAAATCTAAGGCTGCGTTCAGACTGGGTCCCCGGCACTGGTGCCCGTCACTTGTTTTGGCGCCTAATTTAAACACGACGCTTCCAAATGAAATTGGGCAGAAGTAGCCGGTATTACCCAACAACGGTACTGTGCTCAACATGTTTTGGGAACCAGATTGAACATTGCACAGCAGTGCCGGGCACTCAGTCTGAACGCAGCCTTAGAATCCTAGTAATACGAGCCTGCATATATGTACACTATAATTAATATTAAACGGCAAACTAATACCGTAATAGAGGTACCCCAGAAGTTGTTTTTTTTTAAATATGAGATTGAACGGAAAAAATAATGCATTCACTGTTCTGGAATTAACTAATTTCCACACAAGAAAGAAAGTTCAAGTGTTTCTTGTATTTATGCTTGACACCTTCTATGCAACTGACACCTTCCATGATACGTATCTTTGCAGCCTAGACACTAGGCTTTTTCCGGCGCGGTTGCTTTGGTTTCATGACGTCACAGAGATGAATTTCTTCCTTCGCCCCGCCCCCAAATCACCTAGTCCCAGTCTTTTCATGTGAAAAAGCGCTGAATATTAAAAATATATAAATAAAAATAGAGGCCTAGGTCTAGGCTGGTATCTTTGGTAATATATTAAATATTCATATGATTGCTCAATACGGACATTTTGTGCCAATATAGTTGCTTGACTACATTGCCGCCACATTGAGTTTTTCTCTATCGGTAGACAGAGAAAAAAGGTAGGTATAAAGCCTTTCAAAAAAAAATTCCTGCACAGCTTCTACTCTGAAAAAAATTCCGACAAAGCTTCGAACTCAAAAAAAAATTCTTCTAGGGAAAATTATTCTCCCCCCTCCCAGGATATCTAATGGTCCACCCCTAACGAACAGTTCATGTTGAAACAATGTTTGGAAAATATAGCCGAGGGGTTGTTGCATGCATGTATTTCTAGTTAACTATATACACAACTTGTGGCTATAGAACTCGACAACCCAGTAGCTCAGTTGGTTAGAGCGGAATCGCAGAGCCGCAGGTTCGATCCCTGGTTAGGTCTAATAAATGTATAAAAGTTCCACTCGAAATTTCCATGTACAAATCCCTGCAACAATATTTAATCTTATCTTACCACTGGTAAGTTTTGATAATATTGATGTATATGTTTTTCCTTGAGAAATCAGGAGCAGCCGTTATGACTTGAGTCCTGACCTTGCTTACATGCAGTTTCAGACGGCTCCGTCACCCGCAGGCAAAAATAGAAAATATGTGTTTATTATACATATTATTTTATATAATACCTTATTGAATTCTGATCGTTTAATTGGCTGTTTGTGGTCACGTGATATTGAATAGAAAATTCCATTTCCCAAGAGTGCAATGGAATACGTTCCATTGCACTCTTGCGAGTGCAATTGTGCTATACGTTTTATTCCATTGCACTCTTTGTGTTTTCGATAAATCGCATCCGTCAAAATGCTTCTCGTACGGCGATCGCAGTTTATTTTAACCCGATATTCGAAACTCAGTAAACTGGGATTTAATGCAAATACGACTCGTCAAAATGACGGGAGCTTACAGTAAACCTTTTAATATTAGTCTATTTTGGTATTATATAAAACAAATAATGAATGTTTTTATTCGTGCAATGGTAAAAATATTTTCATTCGGTGAAAGATGGAATGTTCCATTCAACTCGGCTATCGCCTCGTTGAATGGAACATTCCATCTTTCACCTCATGAAAATCTTCTTACCATTGCACTCATAAACATTCATTATTTGTGTATTATTTGTCTGTGGTTATTTTAAATGGAAGATGTACTTGTTCCAAAATTTGATCACTAAATCATATCAATGGTCAAAACGTAAGTGGAGTGGCAATCATACAAATCAAATCATACGCAACAAGTTCGTTTCGTGTACGTGCTCATTTCCATCTTTCAAATACGATGTCCGCGCCTTATCCCCATAACCCGCGTTCGTAACCCGTATTTCCATCATACCAAAGGGCAAAGTGGTTATACTGATTTGCGTTTATACTAACTATTGATGCGTGACTGTATGACGTGCATAGGTAGTCAGGCACTTAGGCACGTTGAGTGAAATGAGTGAATACAGCGCGTATTAATACTTACTACCAAAAAAATGCAAGTTAATTAAGCTTTCTTCAATACAATATCGCTGAAATGAGTGAATACAAGTGAAACATATATACAAATGATCAAATTATCTTATCGTGGGTCGTAATGCGCCAAATTTGCGTTTTTCATAAAAACAATTCGTCAATTTAAATTAACTTTCCGTTTGAAACAAAATATGTAAGTTTAATCTTCATCTTATAATGAGCTTTCAGGTGCTCTGTTGTCAAATGCTAGTTTTTAAATAACTCGCTTTAGGCCCGTTATGCTGCTATAATTCAGGTGCGATTTTTTTACTAATATTTAAAACACACCAATAGAGTTTAGTCAAATTAGCGCAAGTTTTTAACCTCACCAAACAACTTGAGAGACGCCACAATATTACAATACTATTAGTCTTGAACTTACTTAATTTCTTCGTAATCTTGTAAATATCTGGTAAATATTCTTGTAAATAACTTTATTTATTCAAGTGTGTTCCGACGTCTCTCATGGAAACCAGCTTGTAGCTGATGAGGCTAGTGTCGTTTTTTTTCCTTTTTGCCGTTAAATAAAAGTTTACATACATACATACATACGTACATACAACTGGCATACTCAACAAATTAACAAAACCCGCAACTTCCTGAAAATAGACACATTTAATAACTACATTATACAACACACTAATTTACTCTTGTCTATACGGTAATATAGTTTGGGCAAATTGAAATAACTATATCGGAAACTAAAACAGATTCTGAAAATACAAAAACGAGCAGTTAGGATCGTCACAATAAGTTCATATAATGCAAAATCGGAACCACTTTTTCGAAAAAAAACAAAACTGTTAAAAGTAGTGCAACTTAATAACCTATGCATTAGCCTTTTTATGTACGATTATACACAAAAGGAAATTTACCTACTTTCTTGACAACTATTTCACTTTGAATAGCAAATTAAGTTCACAAGCATAATACACGAAGTACAAATTTGATCCATAAAAAAGGCAATAGAACAAATTACGGAAAATTTTCAATAAAATATATGGGAACAGAAATTTGTTAGTTAGATCGATCATCCGAACACGAATCATCGAAATTTTATCTCCATATCCGTTCCGCAATTTACCCATCCACATTTTATCGTAACCACATTTTGGGTTCAATTTGTCACTCAGTACCTTCAAAAGTATGACGTAAATGTTTCCTGTCTAATTAGGATGATTGTGCTTCCGAGATATATCATAGCAAAACAGAAGTAATTATAAACTGAACAGACTTTTCTTCCTGATTTGCATTAGTGTTTTCCAGGTTAGAACCGTTTTCAAACATCGCTTTCAAAAATGCAAACCCCATCATTGCATATAAATATGATGATAATGACATATAAATATAGTATTAGTAGTAGTAGTATAATAACATATAAATAGCATATGATGATAATGACATATAAATGCAATGGTATAATGACGTAATTTCCATTGCAGTCTGGTGTATTCCGAAAAATTCAGTGACAAATCTTACCCTTTTGTCCTTGGAGCCCATGGTAAAAACCGTTTCCAGTTGTATTTCGTCTTCTCCGGCGCCTTGTGCGAATATTCAATATCACTCTCAACCGGCGCTCCATTCTGGCTGGTGTCTTCCAGATTATAAAGATCAGTTCCATTGGTTAAGGATCGTTGATTTTTCTTGGGAGCGCGAACAGCTTTTCGAAATGATTTGTTACGATCTTTATACAACTCATCTTCAAAACCAGAGTTGTACATTGTTGATGATATTAAAGCACTGAAATTGCACTCGAATGTCTTATATTCTAGTATGTATCAACATAAAAAAAGGTCAAGAATTGATAAGCACTTCACACTGAACCTTCACACTAGGGGATATCAAACAAAATGTATTAATATGCTAATTTTATGCACTTTGGGTAAATACATTCCCCTGATTCTGTCTGTATATTAATACAGTATATTTTGACTCCAGAATTGTGTTACAGATATTTGATAGTTAGAAAAGATATGAACTTACGTCCGTTTCAAAACATCTTGCCAGACAAATCTGAAATTAGTTCATTTACTTTCATTAAACACCGGCAATCTAAAAGAACTGAACCATCACATCGAAACAAAACAGAAAATATTCAGCTAGCTTTAATATGTATAACAATGTTGCGAGTGACTGTGTTAATCTTGAAATTTGATATATAGCTTATCAGTATAACAATATTTCGAGTGACTGTTTATAATTCTTGAAATTTGATATATAGATAACAATGTTTCGAGGTTTCGAGCATAGATATCTTGGTGTTGGGTTTCGAGTGACTGCAGGCGGTGTGCGCACTACGCTCTGCGGAATTGCTTCGCGAGAAGATGGCGGCAAATATGGTATATGAGGGGGGGGGGGCAAGGGGGGGTCTCGTCACGAAATCACGAAGATCATTTTTCGATTTCACGAGTCACGAAAAACAAAATTTCATTTTCACGATTTTTAGAAACACAGAAGCGTAACAAAGTCTGAAACCATTTAACACATACTGACTTTAACATTAGAGCCGTTTAAAGGACAATGGAAATCATTGCGAGGCATTACGAGCATCATACGATGGTTCACGAAGTTTACAAAGTCTACGAAGAGGTACGAAGGTATACGATAACGACGTTTACCGATGAAACGAAGAAACCTCAAGAACCATAGATATAGGAGATCTAGATTGCTAACGCATACCTAGCGCAGGCGGGGCCTACATGATAAATCCAAGATGGCGGTACAACAGGGCAAAAAGACTATAGATTCTATTACGAAAATCAGGATTTTTGCATTTTTTGCCGCCGCATTGTTTTGAAACTTATTCGGTCAAATTTTATGGTAAAGAGAAACTTACCGCGAAGATTTTGAGCATATATATGATTGAATTGGATGAAAAATCGCAAAATTATCCAGCGATAAAAGTTTGTGTGAAATGGTCAGTTGGTCAGTTGGAGCGTTTTATTGCCAGAAATACTGTGCTATGTTAACATCTAGCCTTGTGAATGGTGTTTTATACTTGCATCTCTCGTCATCATTTTTAAGTACTGATATAGTACTATATATGTAACTTGTACAGTTTTGCTTTAATTTTTGCTCACTATTTGCATAAAAAGCAAATTATAACAGACCATAGATGATAGACCCTCATCCAGTGCTCTCATCAGTTTACTTCTCCAACAAGCAAGGAGGGGGGGGGGGTACATAACAGTTCATTTTTCATAATTATGAGGACAGAGCAGATGATGATGAGAGATGCAAGTATAAAACACAATTCACAAGGCTAGATGTTAACATAGCACACTGGCAGTATTTCTGGCAATAAAACGCTCCAACTGACCAACTGACCATTTCACACGAACTTTTATCGCTGGGTAATTTTTCATCCAATTCAATCATATATATGCTCAAAATCTTCGCGGTAAGTTTCTCTTTACCATAAAATTTGACCGAATAAGTTTCGAAACAATGCGACGGCAAAAAATGCAAAAATCCTGATTTTCGTAATATAATCTATAGTCTTTTTGCCCTGTTGTACCGCCATCTTGGATTTATCATGTAGGCCCCGCCTGCGCTAGGTATACGTTAGCAATCTAATTTATAAATTTTTCCCCATAATATTACATTTGGGCCGAGTTTTAAACGTAAACATTCACAAGTTAGGGTAAAATATTTGTAAATTCAAGACCATAGCTAGCCTTTTAGCTCTTCACGATTCCCGGCACGCATATTAATCTATGACGGAATGGTATTTCTTTAAATCACGAAACACGAATAATTGCTAATCACGAGTTACGAAAATATCCTTGCCCCCCCCCCGTATATGGTATATATGAAATACGAATTCGGTGTATTTTCATAATCAGGTTTGCTTCTAGCCTTCTACGGCTTTCCCCCCCGGTCTTTTATTCCCCACTGTAATATGCTTTGTAGAGTGCCTAGACTTGCTACAAGTCGGCCTCGTTTCGTTCAAGGTCGACTTGTGGCAAGTCTATAGAGTGCCATGTTGCTGTGGTTCTGTTGACTATACAGGGTGTATAAAAAAACTGCACAGATTTGAAATTTGCTCTTAAATTCGCAAAACAGCTATTAGTATCCAGTTTTTTATGTATATATAGCTTCTTTGGGTACTTATAATGTAGAAAAATGGGAAAAATTTCTCGAACTCAAATTTTGTGAACCAGGGGTGTGTGTCTTTTCCAACAAACCAAAATGAATCATATTTTAAGTTAACAGATGGAAAGTATGTTGGGTGTTTAATTACTGTACAAAATTTCAGACAATTTGCTTCAGTTTACGCCCCTTAACCATTTACGCAAACTTACATTTTTTCTTAACTGAAAATCACCATTTGCATGCTAATCAATGCCTTTGCCTAATTTGCATATGTCAGCAATATGCAAATTAGGTAAAGGCATTAATTAAGCATGCGAAAGGCTAATTTTTTACAGAAAACTATTCATTTTTCTCTAAAAAATTAGCCTTTCGCATGCTTAATTAATGCCTTTACCTAATTTGCATATTGCTGACATAACTCTAAATTTCAAGATTGTTGATTATCATTAAGAAAACTAGTAAAGGTTCTATTGGGAATGCCGTTAGAGGCTAATTGCTAAGCCAACACACTCACAATAGTTTGTTGTTTTCTATAGAATCAATCACTTTATAACACTAGCTAGTCCTAAATTCAGTCTCAACTTACAGTCACGCTATCACTTCTCTATCAGTATCTCTTAAACAGTTCAATTCCTGCCAAAGCCAAAGGGCCTATAATTGCATTAAAATCATTCAACTATTTTAAAATCTATCGCTGAGATGGCCAAAATCCTGAAATTGACTTAATTATTATAGCCTTTCTCATCCCATTGGTAGCAAAATACATACCAGCATAGGGACAGTAGATGGCTTGTGCGAAGGAGTGCATTTACTAGTGAAGTAAAAACACAGGTCCTTTTTTGGCTTTGTAGTTTTGTTTATGAGTACCATCAATCTCGTACCCAGAGCCATCGTTGTGCTGTTTGAGTGGCCTCCAACAACAACGGACAAGCCTGGTCGTATGGAGTGAGCAAAGCTAATAATCAACACAATGTCTGAATAAACGATTGAGAATAACTAATTTAATATGAATTATAAATCTCTACCATGTTGAAAATAGTACTCGACCCAACCTCGTTCCTAGGCTTTGTACGCAACATTGTCCTAGCCATGGAAAGGGTAAATGGTTCAAGAATAAGCTTAAACGTAAAGGAAGGAAATTCTAGTTTAACGCATGTATAAATATATATGTAGCGGGCTCCCTTGTTCGACAAATGTTTTCAATCCTTTTATTCATATTGCTAGTGAAGCCCTTAATTGACTGGATTTCCAAATATTCACTGATCTGTTTAGGGCAAACAACATTCAAACGCTTTTGGAAATATATATATGGATATATATATATATCGATGCCATAAAGAACGAATAGTATAGTTTCGCTTCAGGTGTGTGATTGGGTCTACTAAACATCAAGGGTGTGTGTTCGTTTTGCCCAAAGAAAGGGTGTGGCGTTTTGACAGTCCCCAGGGGTAGACAAACATACTTGACCTCAGGTCTATACTTACGTTGATGAGAATGCAGAAGTATCAGGCAAAGTCGCGAGACGCCAAGGGGCACTGGGACATGCTCCCCAGGAACATGTGGGATTTATAGGTTCCTGAAACGCCATTTCATTTGCACTTTGATGGACGATTTTTCAGAGTTGGATTTTACAGGACTGATGGTCAGAAAACGATGTTTTAATGCTCAAACTGGTCAACTAGGTTCTTTGTGTTTCTCAACATGATTTGAATGTATTTTTGCTCTACAAAAATTGTGAGTGTTTGCTAATTCGTGTTTGGTAATTTCCATTTTCAATGACATTAGGAGGCTGTCACCCCCCCCCGCCCCCATAGACCCAGCAGGTTGCATCCCCTCTTTCTCTTACATCGAAGAAGGAATGCTCTACAGGGTGTATCAAAAAAGTAAGACAATTTTGAAATTGCTCTCAATTCCACAATTCTGTTCATGAAATGTAATTTTTGCTATATATGGATTGCTTGAGTTCTTAATTTATGGAAAATATAAAAAATTTTGAAAATAGTAAATTTTGCTATCCAGGGGGGTGGTCAACTTTTGCTCCCCTAAAAGTGGCTTGCGCACGGAAATGACAAACGGTATTCTTTATTTGAGTTCATGTATGAAAAGTTCGCTATTTGCTGCATTTATGATAAAATTTCGGCAGGATTTTACCGAGTACAAATCCTCCGAAAAGCCTATGAAAACGTTACATTTTTCTCTGTTGGTGCTGTTCTTGCTTCATTATGAATTCATTTTTACTCCCATGAGAGTTCCATGGAATTTCCATGGAATTTGTGCTTTCGAGTTGTTTGTGCTGAAACGCATTTTCTCGTATAATACCCCGTACACTTTGAAATGGCAATGCCACAATTTACCCCGCAGCAGAGAGCTTTTATGGTATCAGAGTTCCTCCGTAACAACAACGTAAACTTGGTTCGCCAAAGTTTCACGAAAGAATATCCAGATGTACGATGCCCTTCACGTTTATGTTGTTGCTACGGAGGAACTCTGATACCATGCGTAAAAGCTCTCTGCTGCGGGGTAAATTGTGGCATCGCCATTTCAAAGTGTACGGGGTATTATACGAGAGAATGCGTTTCAGCACAAACAACTCGAAAGCACAAATTCCATGGAAATTCCACGGAACTCTCATGGGAGTAAAAATGAATTCATAATGAAGCAAGAACAGCACCAACAGAGAAAAATGTAAGGTTTTCATAGGCTTTTCAGAGGATTTGTACTCGGTAAAATCCTGCCGAAATTTTATCATAAATGCAACAAATAACGAACTTTTCATTTATGAACTCAAATAAAGAATACCGTTTGTCATTTCCGTGCGCAAGCCACTTTTAGGAGAGCAAAAGTTGACCACACCCCTGGATAGCAAAATTTACTATTTTCAAATTTTTTTATATTTTCCATAATTTAAAAACTCAAGCAATCCATACATATAAAAAATTACATTTCATGAACAGAATTGTGGAATTGCGAGCAATTTCAAAATTGTCTTACTTTTTTTGATACACCCTGTATATACAGCGATGTAGGAATTGTGATAATTGGATTCCTACATTGGATGAAAAAGATGTAGTGAAGAATGAAACCTTTGAGGTAAGCAAAACTATATCTCTAAATATAATGTCACAGCATTTGGTAATTCGGTGCTGTAGTTATTTAGTTTCCTTAGATAATATTAGCCTAGAAACAATGTTTTTAGATCAGATGCTTCGAGATGGACAGGTTGTAGTATTCTTTATTCTGCTCAAAGTAATGTTTCAGAAAATCTAAGATATGATACTTTTTGTGTGTGTTGGTATTATGTACTTAGGTGAATCTCAAACCGACTTGATCTCGTAGCTCAGTTGGTAGCATTGGACTAGTATCCCAAAGGTCGCCAGTTCAATTCCCACCGTAGTCAGGCAAACTTTTCAGCTTGCCCGGTGTGGATGCACACTGAGAATAACATCACAAACAAGTGCAGTATAGTAAACACCGCTTCTGCTGTCTTACAATTATGACGTCACAGGGCTAGTTATGGTTGCCACATAAAGGCAGCCGAGAAGCCCTAGGAACGAGGATGAGTTCGGACTAGTGGAAAAGTTTTGCCCCCGACAATGACCGACATTGATGTAACATTTTTTGCAAACCCGTTATGGACATCCAATGTTCTTGAAGCTTGCAACAACTGGCTTAAAATACAGCTCCAGTTAAATACCACCTGTCCTTGCATACACACTTAGAATCAACTGTCAAGTTGGTTCTAAATTACTAACAAGTTAACAACATTTAATAATATATAACAAACTTTTTAAATTTAGACAAATACATAATTTTCAGTCTAAATCTATACAATACACATGTTAATATACAAATATCACTGCCCAGGTTGAATATCTTGCCAGGATCTTGTAAGATCTTACAGGATCTTGTAAGGTCTTGTGAAATCATGCAAAGATCTTGTCAAGAAATTATCTTGGCAAGATCTTGCTATGATCTTGGCAAGAATTTCTTATTTTCTTGCCAAGATCTTGATATATTTTAAAAACAAATTTAAAGTACACTTTTGTCAAGATCTTGCCATGATCTTTCTAGAACTTGCCATGATCTTTCTAGATCTTGCCATGATCATTTCAAGATTTCCACAAGATCTTGCCATGATTTTACTATAATGTTGTCAAGATCTTGCCGTGATAGTTCAATATCTTGCCATGATCGATCAATATCTTGCCATGATCGATCAAGATCGTGCCATGATCATTTCTAAATCTATGATCTTGTTACAATCTTGCCAGGATCTTGCCGTGACCCTTCAAGATCTTGGTTGGCATGACTTTGTCAAGATTTCCACAAGATCTTGCCATGATTTTACTATAATCTGTCTTTCAAGATCTTGGCATGATCGTGTCAAGATTTCCACAAGATCAGAGCGTTAATTAGTGTGTGTGGGGGGGGGGGTGAATATTCATTAAAAACAACTGATTTAAAAAGAAATTAGTTGGACAGATCAGGAATATATGAATACTTACACCCCACCCCCCAAATTAACGCTCTAGTTTCACCCCTGCACAAGATCTAGCCATGATTTTACCATAACCTTGTCACCGCAATCTTGTCAAGATCTTGCCAGCCTGATGATTCTTTAAGACCATGCCATAGTCTTTAAACAATCGTGGAAGGACCGTGCTGAAATTTTTGCAGGGCTTTCTCATAAGTCACTGACAAAGTAACTGACTAAAAGCTAGAGTAAAACTGGCTAAGAGTCAACCAATCATGATATTTGAAGACCTTGCTGTGCTATTAAAATGTGAAGTTATTAACAATATTTATAACTAAAATAAAGAAAACAATTATCTATATTTTATTGTAACCGTTCCAAAATTAATATACTTTTTTCAATAATTATGCAAGTTACGTACATTTCTTGCTATGTACAATTAATATCATTAACAGTAGTGATATATGCATCCACAAAAGGTTCGTTAGTCTCTGCAACTATGCACTTAGCTACAATATCTTTACATAAAACAGCTACTAGATCGTAATCATACATGGCTGGATTTTGAGAACCTGCAGGATTTTTGGCAAAATTATGGCAGGGACATGGCAATATCACTGCAAGATCATAACGATATCATGGCTAGATCCTGCAGGATTTAAGCAGAATTGACAGCAAGATCTTCGTAAGATCACGGCAAGATCTTCGTAAGATCATGGAAATATCATGGCAAGTTCTTCGTAAGATCTTCGTAAGATCATGGCAAGATCTTCGTAAGATCATGGCAAGTTCTTCGTAAGATCATGGTACGATCATGGCAAGATCTTCGTAAGATCATGGCAAGATGTTGCAGGATCTTACAAAGAACTTGCAGGATTTATACAAGATCTTTGTAAGATCATGGTAAGATTATGGCAAGATCTGGGGTGGAAAAAATAGGCGAGCATACGAGCACCGCTCGCAGGGAATGTTAAACAGCTGCAGGAAATTTGAAGGAAACTCTAACATGGAAGAACCACTATGGGAGCAAAAACTCATGGTTGTCAGGCATTTTTACTTTCGTTGAAAACAATAGTCTGCTAGCTAAAGGGTACTCTATGTTTATGCACATGCAGTTTCAGCACAAATAACTCAGTTGGTGCATGTGCAGGAAATCTTAAGATCCAGGTTGTGCTCCCAGGAAGAAAATTATTTTTTCCAGCCCTGGGCAAGATCATGGTAAGATCATGGTAAGATCTTGCCAAGATCATCAACCTGGGTGAACAAGAGCATATACAAACTTAAAATACTCATTAATAATTCATAAACCTTGTGGCAAATCATGTCAGCCATAATATGTCACGTGGAGTGACTTTATATCTGATAAAACACATGTGGCATTATATAATTGTTCATCTTAATTAGCATGATTATACTATGGTTCATCCTAATTAGTATTCTTTTGTAGTCGTATTTTAAGCTATTCAAAACACTCGTTGTCGTGTTTTATCAGATATATAACGCTCGGCTGCGCCTCGCGTTATATATCTGATAAAACACTCCTACTCGTGTTTTAAATAGTACGTAAGTTTCTGTAATCTATGTCAATATGTTTTCACTCGTTTCCAACCATCAAACTGACGTTACGTCATTTGATCAATTACTAACGTCGATTCTTTTTGGATTTATTGTATTATTTTGGTTAGGGTTAGGGTTAGGGTTAGAGTCAGGGTTGGGGTTAGGAATTAGACTTAGAGTTTGGATTAGTTACATAGCCATTTAACACCTCTTCCATCTTGACGTCACGTCACTAACGTCAGCTTGGTAAATGGAAACAAGTGCTGACCATACTATAATAATGGTCATTTAAATAATTTAAAGTTTAAAAGGCGTTTGTCTCGATTTCAAGATTAAATCTTTGCATAAAATTTAAAACATGGATCATGGACAATGGGACGTTGAATCGTGACTGCCACTATAATATATATATTTGCAAAGGGAAAACTATTTCTATGGCGCAGGTATATAACTTACATTTTACAATTGATCTCAAAAATCATATAAAAAGACAGATTTAGGATGCCATTTAGGTCTCTTCGTTTGTTTCTCCAACTTCTCTTGCGCTATTTCTTTCTCAGATCTTTCAATTTCGTCTTTGTCTCGAGTATATTGCCAACACTTCACTGTACAGTCCCACTAGAAACAGACCAACCAATATTTAATCGAGAAGTGTACAGGGCTTTCAGAATTATTCGGAGTAGGTGGCTGTGTTGACAAAGTCATCCAAATTAACTAGACCTGATAAGTACTTGTATATTGATTAGATAGCAACACAACTGAGCTCTGTAACCAAATTATAATGTATCACTACTTTCAACCTTCAACAAGATAACTGAAGTAGACGAGGTTGAGGAAAAATAACTTTATTTGAAAGTTTAGAGTGGAGGAAGGAGAGCAGATTGATATTTCAAGTACTAAATAAAGTACCGGCGGTGAACCTCGTGGCGCCGGCTTATTTTGAAAGCCATGAATGTGATATTTTTTATTACAATATTAATTACCAAATGTTTTTACCTAATATATGTCTCTCTCCTCCGCAGAGGATTCTGTTGGCTAGGATTACGATTAGATTTGAGATACATTTCACTAAACTTTACATGGCGGATCTTGGAACACGAGCGGAGCCGCTGGGCGAAGGAGCGCAGGCGGGAGATGTAATATTATTTGTAAATCAGCATGATTCTGTTATCACATATACAAACTCCTTCACGGTTTTGTGTTTTCTCGTGAATTATTAATGAGTTTCACAATAATAAATATGGCCAAATTTAACTTGTTCCATGCCTAGCTATGCATTAAAAACGCTTGAATTACGTATTACTGGATACCATGGTAAATGTTAACTTTCGCCTTGAACAACGGTGAAAAATAACCCCAAGAAAAACAATTAGCCCCACAACGCCAGTGGATATATCGTGCAACAAGATCTGTAAGCAAGAGTGTAAATCCTGAGGGACGGGGGGCAACCCCTCACTTTTCGGATATTCATATAATATATCATCCCCCATCGCTTTGGTCAAAGTCGGTAGACTGTCATAATACTTACAGAAGAACTCGTGATATAAGGCTTGCTAGGATGCCACGATACATCTCGTACAATACCATTCTGCACATTTGTCAAGGTTTCATTTTCAATACACCCTTTCGATAATTACGTCACACATACTTTTTGGTCTTGGAGCCTCGCTCTCATTAGTAAAGTACGCAAGGTGATTGGCACGATTAACGAGAGCGAGGCTCCCAGGCCAAATGACGTAGTTATCGAAAGGGTGTATTGCCCAGAACAAACACTCAAATCGATTCCATTCTGTGAGATACTAAGTAAAACGTATAAAGGATACATGTCCGTAGAGTTTTCTCGCCAGTTTGCCACTGTGAAGATCATAAACTTTAAAACAACACGAGAAAACGATAGATTAACGGTACAGTATCGTATAGTTAGTAGAGAGCTTAAGCAAGCGACGTTTTTGTCAACAAGGACGTTAACATTTTTATTCACATTACATATATTTATTATATTATGTGTCAGTCATCGCTCTACGAGTTTTCTCTGGGTATTCCGGTTTCCTTCCACAGGAAATGTTGACAGGGTGGGATAGGATTACACACGTAAAAATCTCGCATCTTGTCAACAAGTTGTAACAATGGTGTTATTTTATCAAGATTGTCATTCACAACTCGTTGAAAAATTGTTGAATCGCAGGACGACAACAATCAAGTTGTCGGAACCAACTTGTAACAAATCTGTTGAGCTCACCAACCTTGCAGCAAGTTGTCAACAAGCCGTTGACAACTTGTCGACAACCCGGGAACAAGCAGTGCGAACACATTCTGTTGACAAGTTGTTGGAACAACATTGTTACAAGTCTGCTGCAGGTTTGTTACAACGTTTTTAGGTATGCTCGGTGACCAGACGTTAGCCACAGGCGCCCATAGAAAGCCTTCGACTCGATCAGGTTGAGCTGCGTCCTTCGTAATTCAGCTTTCGCATTCTATCTCAGCTGCAAGTAAGGATGGTGATCACACCGCCCCTCACTTAAGAAATCGTGTTGGAAATTTCTCTGAGGATGGTTCTGTAATAGTGTATTTGGGTTAAGAACTTAAGGAAGTGTCGACAAAACACTTACTATACACACAGCCATCTGCACTCCCAGTGTAAATATATTCCTGAAATATCAAATAAAGGGAAAACATATTAAACTATTTACACGATACTAGTCGTATACGATTCTCATTCTGGCGTAAGAAAACGACTGCTGACGCCACTATTCCTGTTCACCGGGCGCGACAACGCCGCGCGATTTTTCGATTTTCACTGACTGATAACTTTGGTCCTGGTATACATTTTCCAAATAATTAGAAGCGCTCTAACATTTTAAGTTAGGGACCATTATTTAAGTTAGGGACCAGACAGCAAATTTAATTCATGTATAGCCAGGAAAATTCTCAATTTTAATCAACAGATAGACCCAAAATGCAATGCACAAATACAATACCCAAAATGCAATGCGCGCAGCTAATATGAAAACTAATCGAACATCTACCTTTATAACTTTTGCCATGAACTTGCCATAATTTTTTGTCATATTTCAATTATGTACCGTACATTTTAGTAAAAAAGATAATTAACGAGTAAGCGATGTAGCAACATTACGTCCAGGGAAAGTCAAATCCGAGCCCGAGTCAAATGTCCGAGTCACTAGCTGTTTAGCGGTCTTTGTAGTTCATTGACGTAGTACCCTAACCCTACTCCTAACCCAGGGCCGTAGCAAACGGGGGCGCTGGGGGGGGGGGTGCAGCCTAACTCTGCAGCTTGATGGGTTAAATAGGCAAGCATATTAGTTGTTGTAAGCACAAAGAGGGGGTTACTATTTTTTAGAATTCAAGTGAAGGGGGTCATTGAATTTTTTTGTGATGCAGGGAGTGGGGCAGGACATTTTGTTTAGTTGTTAATTGAATTTTGCCAGCCCACCCCCGGTCATAATAATGAATGGTCCCTTATTTGGTCCACATATCTTTTAAAATTTCCTTAAAATAGTTTCCCTTTCCTGTTTTATTAACTTTTAAAAAATGAAAAATCGCGCCGCGTTGTCGAATCGCGTCCGATGAGTCTCAGCCTTAAGTCATAGAAATAATAGACATCTATTATTTCTATGTCATCGGTTTATGGCAAAATTTATTGAAATGTAACATCTTTACACGCATTTACTCGTCGAGTACATACACATCAGAATAAGAATCGTATACGACTAGTCGTATCGTGTAGATGGGCATTTCTGCCAACGATGGAAGTTTTCAGTAAGCAGTGTCCCTCTATATTTGCAATATCCTTAAACATCCCTACCTGTCCAGTAGTTTCAAGTGGCGAGAAATAAGCACGACTAAGACATCTAAGGAGTGAATGTCCACGATATGTCATTACTGATACATCTCCTTTTAATTTCACCTCTTTTTGAACTGGCAAAAAATTTCAAATAATAATTTATGGAAAAAAAACCCAAAGGAATTATGACCATGAAGGGGCTTGTATAATCTGTAGCTTGTATTGTGAATCAACTCACATTTCTTAGGTAGGCCTTCCCATCTGTAATCCCAATACTGGTTTGTAGCCACAGCCCGTGCTCCCGCCTAGAAACACCGAGAAGAAGGATTTTTAGGTTATAATTTTCATGTTATCATATTGAAGGTTCAGTGATGGTCAGGGGGTCAGGTTTCAGTTAATGTTAATTGATTTCTTTCATTTACATATTTAGTGTGTTTTGGACATGAAATTATAACCGATTTTTATATCACCTGAAAAACAAACTGAACTGAACTAACCGTATTTATACTGGAGAGCTGACTACCAGTTCTCGACTGTTGTCCCCAAAAGTCCAGTAAGGACCAACCCTTATCGGTCAGTGTTACTAAACAAAGGAACATAAACTAAACTATGTTTATTGTAAGAAGCTATTAGAGTTGTAGTTCTAAAGGTCTAGAAATTAGATCCATTGCTTATGCCTAGAGAATTCTTTCGGAATTGAAGTAAAAGGTAAGCACCAGTAAGCATTAACAATTGTGTCACCGACACCTCTCGCAACAATAGAGGTTCAAATTTGACTTCCGCTACCTCTCACTTGCTCTGTGTGCACCTGATTGGTTAATCGGGCAGATTAAACGCATCTTATTGGTAATGGTCCCTTAATGGTAGCGGTAGCGGAAATCAAATCTGAACCCCCCTAATACCTACATAAAGCCGGCAGAAATGGTAAAATACATCACGCAGCACAATATTTTGTTTACTGTATGTACTGTATCGAATATACGTTTTTCGACACCTACCCATTTCCCCTTTGCGTCAGAAAATTTCCTCATGTCCCACAACTTTATTGACTGATCTTTACTGCTGGTGATAAGATAGCGACCATCACCCTGAAATGAAAATAGATAATGCACCTCATCAGCTAAAGCATGTGTACATCCCTTGCCACACAATTCACATTTTCGGATAGCTCACGTGCCTAGTAACAAAGTCCCGAAACCGAGATAGGAGACCCTAGAAGTAAATCCCCGGTGCAACGAGGAGCTTTTAGCTGCTTCAAATTTCCATGAGATTTCATTAGATTTCATTGAGATTCCATCATGAGATTTCATTTTTGTTCTCGTTTGACCATGATACGAGAGTTGAGAAAATTGTCATACAAACTCTCACTTGCCAATTCTCATACACTTTTATCAACTCTCGTCAAGTTTGAGCTGGTTCAAATTTTGATAAGAGTATGTTCATGAGAGTTTTGCTACGCGCGTAATAATATCCAGTCAACTCCCGCCAACTCTCAATGCAACTCCAAAACTCCCATGCAAATCCTTCTCCACTCTCATCAATTTTCGTTTTAATTTTGCACTAACCTTGGAGTCGATACATGCAATACCACATGCATGACCAGCAAAAATTCCGACTGGCTTAGGACGCTCTTCATTTAATGTTCGTCTGTCCCACACCTGACAAAATTTAAGATACGTTGAACTTTATTATCGATCCATCCTATTATAGGCCGCCGAAACGTGCAATCGATTTCTAGGCCCACTGCATGGTGCTGCACCCCAGGTTTGATTTCTGTCAATGACCACCATAATTTTGATGAATTATAGCCAGTAGGTCACTGTATGAATTATAGCCAGTAGGTCACTAACCCATTTCATCAAAACTAACCTTACACACGCCATCATCAGAGCCTGAGAACAACAACTGTGATGTGTTGTCACAGAAACATACGGTATTGACGTCGTCAGAATGAGCATCTATCTAGCACGGAAGAAAGATTACATATACTGTAGCTGGGTTTCAGTCACGTGACACTTTTAGCGCTTGGTGTTCAACTCCAAATGGAAACACATTTATCGGATCGAGTCAAATATTCATTATAAGTATTGATCTTGTGTTTGGTATGAAATATATGCAATTAAACAAAATTTACTTGCTTCCACAAGCGATAAAGCGGCAAGATGTGTAAAGTTGACCACCAAGTGTTTCCCTATGTATAAGGCTTGAGTGAAACCCACCTATAGGCAGGCTGCTCCATTTACTGTTCGGAGTACTCTGGATTTTCGGAACACTAATGGAATCAAACTGAACACGGTCACACGACTGTTCTGATCGCCCCTACTCATATGACCATTTTTAGTTTGATTCTTTTTGTGTTCTAAAAATCTGGAGTATTCCGAACAGAAAGTGGAGCAGCCTGAGGGAAAACAGTCTACAACTGACGGAGCTATCCAGCATATGAAGTTTGATTCAACTCATTCAAACTCATCTATAACTTACAAAACTTACCCTTAGTGTTCTCCTTCCACAGCCTCGGTTGTAAATGTAAATACTACCGTCGTTTGATCTGGTGATCAAATAAGGGGGATATTGTAAGTGGATATTGTGGTGATCGAATAAGGGGGATATCGCTACATTCTAAGTCCTAACATTCCATGGGGCCGTGGGCTAGACGCTGCACCTCTCCTAAATATATTTCCACCTGCCCCAGCATTTCCACCAAAATCTGGCCTTGCAACAAAATTTATACCGAAACCTTTTCAACCTCATCCAATCTCGTACCCAATTCTCATCCCCAACTCTAGCCCTAACCCCTAGCCCTAACCCCGGCTTGAACTCGGTTATAATTTCGCTTGAATTCGAACTCCTAAAATTCATAGTAATTGTCAATTTGTAAAAGTCTGAAATCGCCTGGCATGCTACAGTAAATTAACTCACCCAGTCAAAATTTCATTGTCGTCTTGCGAAAATTTTATTGAAAATGCACAAAAACTGTGAATTGACGGTCTAAAGGCAAATTATACGAGTTTGTTAAATAAGCTAGAAAATAAGCAACCTTTCAAATGTCAAATGGGCCGGTTTTCAAATGTCAAACGATCGGATGGCGATATTCGCCGAATAGTGATTCAACCGTTGTAAACATTCTCCAAAGGTGATATGGATCCCAATGACTAAAAGGAAACTTATTGTAATTTTTATAAAATAAAGTTTAATTTGGGCTATACCAATCAACGGTTGGTTTAAGGAGGCTTGTAAAAATCACTATCCAGTCGACAGCGCTATCCGGCTTTCGTATACAACAGTGCTCACACAAACCTCATATGAAGTGCAACGTGCGACCTTTCATATCCTCCAGCAATGTCACAGAGATAAACTGTGAAAACATGATACGAATAATAATTATATTTTCATTATTTTGGTCCGCTAACACATGTTTATTTTGTCTGTTGCCACCCATAGTAGGCCATACAACTATTCTGATAACTGAAATGGCTTGTTATACAATGCACAGCCGTTCAAATAATGTAGCATAGACTGGAACAAAGGTAACCAAGCATATATGTTAATGATACTCCAAGAAACAAATACACTATATAGCATACAAGTAAAACCAGCGTATCAGTGAGAAAAATCTGGGTAGGGGGGATACTACTTTGCCCGACGTCGTAGTCTGAAATTTCAACATCTAACAATTTGCGCCTTACAATTAAAGGGATAGTGCTTACTTGTGCATTCAATAGTTGATATAATCCAGGCAAAACTAACGATATGGACTTCCCAACAAAATGGTCCGATTCTTGGGTAGGAAGTGCCGAATTTTCTTTCCATTTCTACTTAAGTTTGGAACACCTATACCCCCTCCCAACCCCGTACGCCTACGTACACTACGGTCCACTTACTGTCTGACGACCAACTTGAATAGATCAAATGTCTCTGGTCATGACTGCAAAACAAATAGTCAATGATTTACAGTATGTATAAAGTTTCTCTGGTTGATAATATAAAGACTGATAATGGCCTAGTACTGTAAATGTTAGCCTGCGTAGCAGGCGTTTAGTGCGGGTGGGAGAAGAGAGGGCCTCGACGACAGACAGTCGGACTCCTCATTGATAGTCGGACGCATCATTGACCCGCGCCCTTCAATAAAACATTACGCGTCACCCGCACTAAACGCCTGCTACGCAGCCTTAGTCAATGTATGTTGACTGGATATTACCGCGCTCGCAGGAAAACCTATCATCGATTCTCATCAAATTTGAACCTGCTCAAAGTTGATAAGACTGGAGTGCATGGATGATTGTCGATGAGAGTTGGTGGTCAAACACAAACGAGAGTTGCAACTGTCATCAACTCTCGTTAACTCGCACTCTCGTTTGATCAGAGTTTTATAAGGCTTCTTCTTTCTCTTGAATCCATGAGCAATCTTTTCCGACACACCTCAAAGATTAAACAAACTGTCCTACCTGTAAGCTGTATCAACAATACTCCAACCAACATTCTGTGCAACGACATCCTGAAACTCTTTCAATTTTCCACTGCTTGTTTCATACAGTTTGATATGACAATCTGGTATTTTTAATTGATATTTGAGGTGGAGTAAAAAAACTATTGACTTTTTGACAAGAAAAACATTTTTCTTCAGTAACTGATCCATCTTATTTCGCTAAACTTTCACTTGTATTTGGTGAGGAAGGTACTGCATACCTTGACTTGCACTCATAAACACAGAACCATCTTGAGAGTAACTGCCACAAAAAACCTTCGCGGAATTTTGTACAACTTCTTTTACTGCGTTAGGCAAATACCTTCAAGAAAACCATGCAGGCAAATCATTAATTTTTCTTGCTCATGATTGAAAAATGTTATAGACAGACTAAAAATCGGATAATTATTTTATCTTTATACCATAGCAGCAAAATCATGATCAGCAAGAAAAATCAGGGGTTTTTGGGGGAGGGTTCTATGGTTAAATATTTTAATGAGTACTGTAACTTCTATACCTTGAAAACACCCTAGACTTTTCGGGTTCGGAGAATCCCATCGAACGTTTGCTTTTTGTGTCCAGCCCCATTTCCCGCTATAAAAATAAATATCATGCTAAATTATTTTCTATGCCAGAAGTTGCGTTGCAAGAACAAAAATTACTTCATATAACAATTACGTTGTGAATATTTCGCCAAGCATTGTAGGTATTGTCATGCAAAAACGCATGATAAGCGTTAGATCAGAACAGAATGAAACGCAAAATAATACTGCTTTGTCTTGGTAAGCCTTGCACCCTATACGATGCTGCCTATACAGTTCCCACGGTAGGATTTTAAAGTGCTGCACTCTCGTATTTTATATCTGATAAAGCACTCCTGCTCGTGTTTTAAATAATACTTAAGTTCCGTGGCTTATTAGTATTCATTTTACGTGATCATGATTCTGAAAGGACCGTGCGCAGTCCACTACATTTATAGGCTAGTTACAAATTGTATGTCTTTCAACTTTTTATATCTGTTACGATATCCATTAAAAACTGTCCTTGCTAACTTGAAATACTAACTAAAAGTCAGGCGAAGGTCAATACTGTATTTATATGTATGAAATGGTACAGTGTCAGTGGTATGTAAAAACGTTGGAGGCGAAACCAGGATTTATAGTTAATTGTGTAAACGTTCTCTGGTTAAAGATATTTACTTGTTACAAGCTTCCGACTTGGCCAGTCTGCAGCCTTCGACGGGCAGATTAACAATGCGCTAGAGATACAAGATATGCATTATTAATCTACCCGTCGAAGACTGCAGAGTGGCAGTCGAAAGTTAATTTGTAACAAATAGGTACAGTCTGTGGTACTTTTAAACCTCATGGGTGGCGTTGTCGCCTTTGGTTACAAGCACACTGAAGTTACCTCGTGGACGTTGCTTCGAGATGAAAATTGGTATGGTTTAAACTTTGTCTACATTTGCTTTCTATCATTTTATTTAATATCGTGGTTTAAAGTTGCAAAGATTGCGCGGACATTAAAGCCCAATTTAGATCGAAACGGCAAACACGTTGAGTTCGCTTCTCCAGCAACTTACATTTCGAATGTGCTTCCAAACATTGACATAATTGTGTTTAACTTCATTCCGTCCAAGTAGAGTTGCTTGGGCAGAACTAGTTCCTCCCTGTTTGAACAATACATACTAAAAGTGAATCATTTACAGGTGACAAATGAGCCGATCAGGCAATTAAGTGTCAGTGCTAATCAATTGTAGTGTGTTAAACTGGGATAGACATGGCAAATTCCTTCAAAGTTCAAACAACCGCGTTCCCCACTTGTTGACAAGATGTGAGACGTTTACGTATATAGTCCATCGTAAGTTAGTTTCTTTCAGTAAGCCGGCCATACTCCTAGATGAGTCAACTGGAATTAACTCCACTTAGACTTAGTGGAAAAAGTGCAGTCTTGAATGTAGGCAGCAAAGAATACAAAACTCAATTTGTTGGGTTCTGTGTGTGAACAACTACTTGAAACTTGGAACAAACTGGATGAAAATTGGAGCAAATTTAAACTTTTCGACAAAATTTTTACATAAGGTAACTAGTTACATCAATACATCACACACACACTCAGAAACCTGCAAAATGTGGAAAGAGCAGCCTGTGTATTAATGGCACCCACCATTTTAGATTTTGCACAGACTTTGATTAGACCACAACACACTGAATATCTAGTTTAGTCAGTATCATACAGGCTATATATCTTGCTCTTGGACACAACTGCCAAGGGGGTGGGGCAAAGGAAGGTGGCCACCCTTTTTTCATTGGAGCATGCAGACATGCCCATGGACCCCTCTAGAAATGTGGCTCACAAATTATTAAGTTGGCCCCCCAAAATAAGATCCTGGCAGTGCCACTGTGGAGACTAGACATCTACATTGTCAATTACAAAGTGTTTCTAGGAATTACCATATGCATACTACTGTACAACAAAACTAAATACCATACTTGCAATTCAGTTGAATCTGAGTCTACATAATCTAAAATAAAAAAAATTTAAACAATCCACCAGTTCACAAGGAAAGTAAAAGAACAGCATAACACAACAAACTACCTTCTTTGATTTTTTCAGGATTTTCCTCATCTGTCGAAGAATCATCTTCAACTGTCCAAATTCCTTGTCCAAGAATTGAATATAAAGGATCTGCACGTGACAATAACCTGGTAAAGTTATGATTCATATATTTGTAATTAGTTGTGTGGTATGTGCCATGCTTGTTTTCATTTCAAAACTTTACTGTTTTTATTCCATTGGTCATTCTCCAGCAGGGGCGTAGGAACCGGGGGGGGGGGCACAGGGGACATGTGCCCCCAATTTTTTCCAAAGGACTAAAAGTGCCCTTTTTTGTGATGAAAAGTGCCCTTTTTTGTGATGAAAAGTGCCCTTTTTTGTGATGAAAAGTGCCCTTTTTGTAGAAGCTAATGTCGCTGTAAATACTAAATTAACATCAAAGGTGCCCTTTTTGTTTGGAAATTTCTAAGTTTTTTAAAAAAATTTGGTCAAAAACGTGTAATTTCGGTATGGTACAGTGGTAAAATTTTCCCCTCCTCCCCCCCCCCCAAATTTCCGTGAATGGAGACATGGGCTTTAACTGATGTCAGATACACAAAAACGAGGCTCTATAGTCAAAGTGACATACTTTGGTCAAACCCAGATGGTATTTGACATTTTTCATTGAGGTGACGTCAAATTTCCCACCCTTGGGATAGTCACTGTCAAATAAGAAAAAAAGACCCTCCCTGAAGCGGGAAACCGTGCATCAATCAAACTGATACTGGAATAACTCATATATCTTGCCATCTCCACATGGATATCCATTTACCCTACTAACATACAGTGTAGATGTCAATTGCACCATTACAACATGATTCTGTGCCAGTTTATCTTACTTACCATCTTCCAGACACAAACCATTTAAAGTTGATGGTATAATAAATTTGGATGAGCTTGCGCCAAACACCCATTTTGTAGCTTCTAGGGCATTTAACTGTTTACCATCAGTTTTACGTCATGCAACAAATCTCTCTATTAATCAATTTAAATGTAATCTCTTAAAGCACTATCAGGAAATGTCTGAAAAAATTTATGACATTGGTGTGCCACAAACTTTTAAACTTTTTTCATCCCTTGTCTACTAGCTGTTATAGTCTCTCTGTTAAATCGTGTTGTTAATAATTATCACTTATATGTATTGGGTCGTTCCAGAAAAGATCCATACTCCCCCCACAGAGGAAATTTCTGCCGTCCGGAGGAGGAGGGGAGAAAAAATTGTTTCTGATAATAGTAAGGCCAAAAAAAAAATATGTGGGTTTCCGGTTTCCCGACCCTACCTAGCTTTTGGACGTCGAAATCCCGACCCTAAACTTTTTTATTGGATCATGCTTGTAAATGTTTCCACTTAGAGGAAAAAGTTTGTGGAAAATTGAAATTTGAGGCAATATTAGGGAAATTTATCTTTGGATGTGGAAGCACTGACTAAACAAAATGGCGTCCGCTTATTCGGAAAATTAAAAAAAAAAGTTTAAAAAAAAAAGTTAAAACCGACCTACCCTACCTAAGTTTTTATAAGAAGAAACCGGAAACCCACATATTTTTTTTTTCCTAAATGTATTAGGACATCCGAAGGGGGTAGGGGGTTAACTTCCTATTTCCTCCGTGGGGGGTATGGATGTTTTCTGGATTGACCTAGCCCATTCTGTATAAATAGTTAAGGTTACTCGTAAAGGAGTGTTCAGCTCTGTGGGTATATTAGTATACTAGAAGTTACTATCGCAAGGAAAATGCTGCCTCACCCCCAAGGGATGGCACCATGCTCAATTTGCTGAATAAGGGTCTGTTTATACGATCCCGCTTCGCCAGGACGAGATATGAGGCAGGATGATTTCGATGTATTGAAATGAGTCACATTACTTTTCTAGAGATAGATTATAGTTACTGTAAACGAAAGGTTGTTCAAGCAGCAATTATAATCTTTTTGAACTACAAGATCTTGTCTACAATATTTGAGTTCTGTTAACAAGCATTTGAACTTTTGTTTAGCCTAGTGACTTATTCCAATACATCAAAAATCATCCCAACTTCCATCATGTAAACAGGAAAAGTCGAAAGATCAGCTAAATGTATATGAATACATTCAATGCTTATAACTTCTTGCTTTTGTATGTATAATTATAACACTGTCAGCCTGTGAAGCTGACATAGCAACAGGTCACGCTATGCGAGCTTTTAATATAATGATTTGCATTATTCAAATAGATACAGGTTTATTGGCGTGGCATGACCAGTTGCCATGGTAGCTAGCTTGCCACTGAATACTGTACAAAATCATTCTACATATATATAAACGATAATACTTGAATGAATCATTTGACATGTAGAATTTAATAATAATTCCATATATAGAAATATTAAGTTAGTTTTTGTTCCAATTATCGTTTTAATGCAATAATGACACCTTCAAGGCTACCCCTATTGCAAAACAACTGAACAATCTGCTGATGCTTGATGGAGAGAGTTTCAGCCCGGGCTGAAAATACAACCGTTTAAATGGCTTTATTTTGCATGTTTGTTTCATCTTTAAATACTTTACATATAACCACAGTCTCACACAAGTCAAATAGTCGACTAATCAGCATCTGATTGCTTCAAAGAAGCATAACAGGCTTATTGTCCTATTTCGTGACACTCAGATTATTTCACTCAGCCCGGTCTGACATTTCAGCCCGGGTTGACTATAAACATAGCTCTGACTAAACTCAGTCCGGGCTCAAACTGCTCATGTAATTGTGATGCAATTTCAGCTCATTTTAATAACCCGGCTGAAACTCAGCCCGGGCTGAAAACTCTCCATGTAATCAGCCCCTAAGATTGTACTCAGTCAGAACTGCAAAACTAAATAATACGATTGTGAGCATTATCAAAAAATATAGTATACTCTGTCTCTGAGTACTGTAGTGACAGCCAGGTGAATATATAAATGTAGGCTGGTAGGATAATTTCATATTATATATGCTATTAAACAATGGACATATCTCAGAGATACATTTTTACAGACCGTCATACCTTTTACAAACGTCGGTTGACATGTTATTTACATGTAACTGCTGGTAAGTTAATATGTGCAGACAACAATCCACACTGGGTTGCTATAGGGACTACCTTTGTGCAAGACAGACAATTTTACGATGCTGCTCAATGCCTCAATTGATATTGCCAAAATAACAATAACAAACTCTCTCTGTGATTATTTATCCCTTAGAAATACGATGTTCCATCAAGCCTACGATCAAGCTCAATCAGATTTTTTACAAACTGATATAAATATCGACGAAGTCCACTTGTTTACTATGAAGACTTGTATGCACCTAAAAATGTAATAATTTAAATACAGTTAATTCATTCGCTTCAAGTTTCAACGCGTATCGACCACTGAGCTGTATAATAACTGGAGGACCTGCTCCTATACTTCGTTCAGTCAACCAAGTGAAGCCAAAAACATGGCGGATTTTGAGTGAAAATGA